CGAATGTTATTTTAAAATGCACTTATTTTTTAAAATGAAGTTTTAAAAGAATAGTATTTTTTCTTTATTTTCCTTAATAACTTATAGCTAATGAAACAGAATCTCACCCTAAAATTTAATTTATGAAGCTTTAAATTTAAGAAACTTTCACAACACATAAAAAAAAAAAACATCATTGGAAAGAAGGAAAAAAATCCTTTTTACACTTTTCAGGCACGTAATTTTTCATTTATTTTAATTGGCGGATTTTATGTTTTTTTTCGCACATTCATTTCAAACTTCATGCCTTGCACAGTAATCAAAACATGTAAAGCTTCCGCACTGCAAAGACTACTCAAGGCAAACATATGTAAACAAAGCCAGTAATGATGGACGTTCTGTGTACGCGACAAGAAAGAAGTCAAACTTACATTGTACATAACTTCTAAACAGTAATCAAACACAATGTTTTAATGCCATTTTCGAAATAACCAGGCAATTTCACACCAGAATTGTACATTCTCAATACCAGGGTCTTTTGATGCTTATACTGCAAATTAACCAGCATTTGCATAAAATTCCATATATTTATAGATAAAACCAGAAATTTAAAACCTGCATTCTTGTTTTCATAGAGAAACTGAATATGAATTAAATATGTACCTAAACAACAGAAATTTATAATAACTACTTTCACAGTTTACAATCTGTCAACATTTTAGGACTACACTTGAGCTGACAGATTTTAGTTATCCAAATTAAAATAGTTTGCAAATATTTGTATTCTTGACTTTTTTGAAAGATGTATGACAAATTGGAAAAAGTTTTTTTTTTCGACGCATTTCATCCATTAGGGCTTCACTGGACTAGATTTGTTTATTTTGTTGTGTCTACACATGCATACAAACGAGAGATGCTGGGAGTTTGAAAATTTAGAAATATTCTTTTTATACAGTCTAGCCAATTTTTGTTTCCATCATCTTTGTTCTTAAATATTCCACATTGTGATAACAGAAGATCTGCCAAGAATGGTGAAATGTAAGAATTTGGATGCAAATTTAATCACTAGTTCATCCACAGTAAATTTGTGTCCAGCTTCTTACAACATTTCACAATTTTTGGCAGATCTTCTGTTATTAGCACAATGTGGAATATTTAATAACAAAGATGATGGAAACAAAAAGAATCTAGATGAAATTGGCTAGATTGTATGCCAAAAAAAAAATCTAAATTTAAAACTCCTAGTATCTCTCATTTGTGTGCATGTGTAGTCATAACAAAGTAAACAAACTGATGAAGTCCTAACGGATTTAACGCATCACAAAACTTTTCCATTAAACTTTTTCCAATTTGTCATACATCTTTTCTTTCAAAACTGTTCTTGATATATAAAAATTTATATATCATTATTCCATTCTTGATTTTAAAATCTTCAAAATATAATAAAAACTTGCAAAAGTGAGGATCAAGTATTAAAAAGTTAAGAGAAGCTCTAACAATTTAATGGTTACTGCAATACCAAATTGTAAAGAATACATTGTGCAGTTTTAATTATATTCTACAATTCATTATTCTATGACATTTTATTGTTGAAATCATAAATGACTATCAATTGAAGAAAGCTACATTTGATACTTTTGTTATTGATAAAAAAAAACTTAAAATCTATATATTTACACACCTACCAAGTTTCAAGTTATGATGGAAAATAAAACGTGTCAGCATGCCGACAATATTTTTCATTCATACTTTAAAACAAGGAGTGCTATGCACTTTCATTAAGTTTTTGTTCAAGGAGTTGAAGAAAAACATAAATGACAAACTTTAATTTTAAAACATTAGTATGGTGTTCGGCTGTATCTTTTCAAAAAAAAAATATTAGTGATTCTCTTTAACAGATCAGGTTTCACAAAGCAAGAAACAAAATGTGCCAATAAACAATTATATGAAACAAACACACACACTATATATATGTCTCACATTATTAACCACTTCATGTTTTATATGAAATAAAAACCTATTTGAATCTAAAGGTTTATGTACTGAATGAGATGGCAGTATCTATTCTGTTCATTAAAGTTTTAAATTAATAGCTATGTTATGAGATTGAATCCATAAAATGGATTATAAGATTGATTTGGTTGATAAAGAGAAATATATGATAACTTTGGGGCTTTAAAAAGTTAAACCAATGCCAGAAATTGCAAAAAGGTTTGGTAAAGGTAAGCTGAGAACTTCATTTTGACAATCTGCATCACATATTCAAAGAAAAAAAAAGAAAAAAATAGATCAATATTTATTGTGCTATGAAACTTTTCAGTGTTGTAGCAGTGAGGAAGTGTTGGAAAGTACAAGATGTCAGTCCAAAATCCAGAGACAAAACATGTGAGACCAATCACTAAGCCTCTTTTAAAAGAAATCCATAAGAAAATTGAATGAATTGGGCAGCAGAAAACATGAAGACCAATTTTTCAACCATTCTTTTCACTAACAAATGACATGCTATTCTCAATGGGCTAGATTAATCGAGCAAAAGCTAGACAGCTACTAGTGGAAACCACCTTTATAGATCAGCACAGTGAAAGTGGTGCGATATTTTGTGGTGGGATTACAATTGGCCAAGTGGTGAACCCATGACAAGTTTCAATTCTAGTTTCAATTCTAGTTCCAAATGACAGCTTAAATATACTTAATTTTTACAAATAGGCCATTTTGTCAGTCCCAGTAAAATAGACACCAAGGCTACTTTGCACATAAATATAAATAGTGTTTTAGAACTAAGAATATATTATATTTGAGATCATCAGCGCAGTTTTTGTTTGAACTGTGTAGGCAGGACTTGAACAACATGGATTCTGTGGTCTGTGACTGTTGCCTTCAGTGGATACACATGAATTGTATTGGCAAGTGAACCATGCCCAAGGGAAAATTTGGAATTTACAGAGATTGTTATGCCTGAAGTGCTTAAAATATTCAGAGACCTCTATAATTCTTTTAATAATTGATGATGAATAAATGATTTGACAATAGCAAGGATTTTAAATTGTCTTAATAATTGATGGTGAAAATAAAACTTCTGTGTGCTGTTATTTTTAACATCACCTGCCTTCATAATAAAACTATTTACCAGCAAAATATCCTGGGGGTCTATTTTACTGAGACTGGCAAAATAGCCTCTTCCTAATTTTTAAAAGCCTATGTGAAGCTATGGTTCAAGAAGCCAAATATTTTTTAAAATAATTTTTTTATGCGTAATAATGCTCCATCACATTTGACAGAGAAAACATGAATATCTGAATAAAATGGTTTTCAAAGAAACTCATTGGATAAAATGGCTGGCTTCATCACTCCACCATAATCCAACTGACAACTTGTAGGGTGTTCTGAAGAGGAAGATTTACAGTAACAGGCAGCAATCTACCCATAAAGATTAACTTTGGAATGCTGTGCAATCTGTTTCATATAAATAAATATGACAGCTCACAAAAAGCCATGGATAAACAACGTAAGACTAGTTTCAGAACATGGAGCATACATTTCACATGAATTTTGTATTTATAACTTTATTGTCATTATAATGACATTGTCTCCAATTATTGTTCAAAATATTTGTCTTTTTAAACTTTATACACATTCTATAATTATAATTTCTTAACCACAACATAAATCTATCTTTTTGTTTCAGTAATCTGACTCAAAACTTGGAACATCTAGTAAAATTCATTAAACTGTTGCCGCATTGTAAGAGTGATATATAGCCTATTATAATTTAGATATAATGGGGAATAACCTGCATATTAATAGTGCAATTATTTCCATGAAAACCTTTATGAATTTTCTAAAATAATTAAGAAAAATTAAAAGTAGATAATAATGTGAGATTTAGTGTGTACTTGAGCATGTGTGATAAAATATAGTTTTAAAGATTGCTATATTTATGGGTTAAAGTGCTCAATATCAGAAATACAGAGTATATAAATATAAAAGTGAATATTGAAGTCAACAACCAGAGGTCCGTTTCATGCTTAAATGCAATCAGGGGCCTGATGATTGTGTTTAAGCATGAAACAGACTGTCGCCTCTGGATGTTGACTTCAATGCCCACTTTTCTTTATATATATATATATATATATATATAAAAAAGCATAATATATTATATTGATGCCAAACTCTTTGCAAATATATCATCTAAAGAAGAAAGTTTATAAGAAATACAGAAACTGTCCGTAAAACATACACTGCATGTAATCAAAGCATTTTAATAGCAAATTACTCAAAAGTATACAGTTTATATATTTTTTGTTACATAGGAATATAAACAAAATCTGAAATATAATTTCATGTTAAATTTTCTTCAAAAAAATTGTAGAAAAATACAGAAAAAGATTTCATATAAGATAAAACACATTTTCTGAATTAAATCACATTTTTCTATTTACTACTTTTTATTGTGTTTTTCTGTCGGATAAAACATTTTATATAAAACTACTTAACTTTTTAAATGACAATGTTCTTTTCTTTGTAATAAAATGCATTAACATCTTAGTAAAATGAATAATTTTTCAAGACTTTGCTCTTAAGTAATCAGCTAAATCAAATATAAAAAAGGAAAATGCAAAGTTTTAAAGTAACACTTAAAACAATAGGAAGTTTTGAATGTTTGTAAAAGACTTGTTTATTCAGATGACCAAAACATGCACTAATCGCTTCTATAAAATTAAATTGCCATAATTAGAACTTAATTTTACAACAGTCAAGTGAAATGTTCTAAAATTTACTGTATAATTAATCTTTAAAGTTGTTAAAAAAAAGTGAGATTTGGCAGCCACTGCAGGTTCTTTCTTATTGCAAAAAGTAGAAATTGAATTACTGTGAGGAATAAAAAAAAAAAAAAAACTTTACTTTTCATTAACTGGCTATCCTCACCCATTGCATATCTTAGAATTAGAAAAATTGCAGAGGTTAGTGGCAGAGCAAGCACATAATAAAAAAAAAGAAAGGCAGGCCAGTCAATTACTTACCCTCCTTGAACGCTATCAGCAAAAGAGATTTCTTTCTTAACACCTGGTTCAGATTTGCTCCTTTTCATGCAAGATTTCAACTGATAATGAGTTTCGTTGTTAAGATTTCCATATGACATAGCATGCTTGTTTTCAAAACTGACTCCCCCAGCATTGTCTGAATCATGGCCAAGTCCCAAAGATCCAGCTGAAGATGATGATGTGATAGTTTGCTGCATCAAGTATGAATATGACGATGCGCCGTTTTCCCCAGTGACATGCTGTTGAGAGAATTCTAAAGAACTTTGACCATTGTTGCTGCCAGAAACACCTCTGTTTCTTCTGACTTGAAGGTCTTGAGCCAAACTATCAAGTTCTTCCCGTAAGACTTTAGCCTGAGAATCAATATCACCACTCTCTGAAGAAATGACAATGTCTTCCATTCCTGCATTTGTTGAAGAAATTGAAGATGAAGAGGAAGTTGCTGTATTGGTGGTTTCTGAAGTTCCAGTTTCAAGATGAATAGGGAGTGAATCATTTGAGACTAATGTCCTTTTGCTGTAGACTTTGGTCACTTTTGCTGAAGATTCGGGCTCAAGTCTCATGATCTCAGATGTGGAGACAATTGGGCCTAAGGCAGACTCCATGGTGACAGCAGTAGACCGATGATAAGGAGTGCTACTTCTTTCATCCTCTCTTAAAGAGACTTTTGGTAAAAAGGAAGAAATATTCCGTAAAGAATCATTTCTGGAAGATTCATAGGTCGTTTTTTGGATGCTCATGCCATCTGATGTTTCACTTATTTTTTCAGGTAGGACACTGACTGTAACCCAAGTGGTATCCTGTTTCCCTTGTGCATCATCGATAGTAATACCTTTTGAAGAAAGTTGGAAAGATTCTGAGGAAGGTTGTAAGGAAAGATTAGAAGAAGATAATATTTTGTCTCCTTTCATCTGAAATTCACCTAAGGATGAATCAACAGCATCTAAATCAGTGACCATTTCTTTTTTCTGATTTGAATTTACAGCAGAATCAAAGCCAGATGTAAATCTTAAAGAGTTCTTATCAGTATCAACACTTTCAGCCACTTGGGAATTGGTACCAGCAGAAATAGACATTGATGCCATATTTTTGATTGGTTGCTCAGCAGGAACAGCAGCATGACTGATAGTAACAGTTTGAGAAGAAACGGTGTACTCTTGTGGATACTCCATCTCAGAATCACAGACCTGTGAAACAGTCTGTGTCTCACTCTGAGAATTCTTTATTATCTGCCCTCTGTTCCCATTGAGTTTGCTCTCAGAAGTAAAAGTCGATATATCAGATGGACTTATATCCTGGCCACTCCTAGAGACAAATCCCTTTGTTGTTGTAAAAATGGATTTTCCACCTATGGATTTATAATCACTGCCACAACTTTCAGAGAAAGTTTTCATTGATTTTTGAGCACTTTCAGCCATCTCTCTCAGAACTTGACTCCTTTCCATGTCTAAATCAGAACCTGAACCTTCACTTAAACTTTTGGTCATAGAACTTTTTACAGTTTTCTGAGAACCATCCCATGGCAAGCTAGAATCAGAAGCAGCTTTCTCCACATTCTCCGATGTGTTAGTGGTAACAGTGATATCACTAGAGACCTTTTGAGAGCTGGGAGTGAAAGACTCAGTCTGTGTTATCAAAGACTTCTCCAGTCCACTTTCACCTATTTCCCTTGTCATGCTGGACAAATCCTGTGGCTTATCAGACACCTGTTCTGTTTCCTGGATAGTTACAAATTCAATGGAACCCTTATTGCTGCTGCCACCCTCTGTATAGACTTGTGTTACTTTTTCTAACTCACTCCCTAAACTATCACGTGATGTACTGGATGTGATGCTGCCTTGTCCACTGTCCAAACTTAAACCACGACCAAGAGATGAGGCTAGCATCTGATGTGTCTCTTTACCAGTTACAAGAAGAGCGGAATTATTAATGCCACCACCACGAGTTGAAAACTCTTCTGTATAAAACTGTGGTGCTTTTCTAGAGACACTGTACAAGTTTTCATGGGAGGTACTAGATGTCAAATGACCTCGACCACCATCTAGATTGTAGCCACTGCTAAGAGTTTCCATGGATGAGGTCACTGACCTACTGCCTGTTTTTCTTACAGAACTGGTCGCTGATGAAGAAGTTGAGAAAGAAGGCTGTGAATTCAAGTTGATTGAACTATTCCACTGCTGCACAGAGGCCCTTTCAGGCGTGAGCTGACGCCCATTCACCGTTCGTGTTGTGTGTGCTTTTACAACATCTGAACTATGATGGCTGACAACACGCTCCGAATAAGTTTCCACCTTTTGGGCTGTTTTATATTCAGTCTTTTCTTCAATAGAGAAGATGTCCATGTCAAAATTACTTGTGGACAATGGTCTGCGCTGAGTATTCACACCAATTGTACGGAGTTGTGCAACATCTGTGTTGCAGCTGCTGTTTCTTACTTGATCAAGTGCCATGAAAATCTTCAGGTCAGTTTGACATTGGTCACTTTGGAACTTTTTGCTGTCTGTAATGGTACCAACATTAAGTAATTGTACTCTCTCAGTGTTTGTAAAGCGATGTTCGACATTCAAGGAATCCGTCAGTGTTCCTTGTTCTATTGTCCACTCCTTATCAGTCATACACAATCTATGTGACACTAGTGGCTTGCACTCGCATGAAACTGACCGTGTACGGACACGTGGTTTGGGAGCAGCAGGAACATCATCAATTCTGTAATCACCACAACCAATTGATCGTACATTTAATGGCTTTGTCCAGACATACTGGACACCAACATCTCTACCCATTGGCCGCATCTGACAATTAACACCAACACTGCGGACATTCCTGCTCAGGACTTGACGGATTGCAGTCCTTATCTCCTCACTCTTAAACTCCATATTCCACATTACTGAAAGGTCAGCACCATCAGTACCCACACCAACTGTACGCATTGCCGGCTTGTCATCATCACACACATAAGAAATGCCTACATCTCTAGTAGCAACCTTGCACTCAACACCAACATTACGTTTGGCAATTGGTGCTTCAGCTTGGCCAATGATAACAGTGCGCAGCTCCTTCTCATGAATATGAAGCCCAGAGTCTGTCTGATCAAAGACGTTGCCATCACCAACTCCAATAGTGCGTGACATGGGTTTTGGACCTCTGGGTAATGGTTTTGGGCTTTGAAGCATTACCTCCTGCACAGTAGAAACTGTAGGTTGAGGCACAGCAGAAACTGTAGCTTGAGGCACAGCAGAAACCGTAGTTTGTGGCACAGCAGAAACCGTAGTTTGAGAAACAATATGTGCTTGAGGGAGCATGTTACTGAATTGTTTCAGCACAATTGTTTCTTTCTCAGAGGTGTGTATTTTGGAATGTGTGGTTTGAGATTCCTTGGAGAAGTATGCTGAAGCCAAGTCAGGCTGAAGGTCATAAGGTTTGCTGACTGAATGATTTCCAACGCCTGTTGACACAAGAGAAGGTCGTTTCATAACGGCAACAGTTTGCACTGTGCGATATACAGGTTGCTTTTGCAAATTTATGTGTTGTACTTGTACTTGTTCTTGTTGTTGTTGCATTTGCAAAAGCTGCTGCTGTTTAATATGCAGCTGTTGTTCAATGCTGCTCTCCTCAACGCTGGTCTTTGTGGACATTGTTCGTTGTTCCTGGATTTTTTGAGAGCTGTCAACTGTGCCAATACTAGTGTTGCTAACTCCAATGCTTCTCTGATTTAGCCTATTGTTTTTGGCCTTAAGCTGAAGCATAAGCAGCCTCTTCTCTTCTTTGAGGACAGAGATCCGCACCTGAAGAACTGGAATTGTCTTCACCTGTTCTTCAAGCTCCCTCATTCTCTGGAGGCTAACAGCCATAGATTCTCTGATTGCTTCCAAAGATGCTTTGCTGATAGTTGTTGAAGCTTGGCCATCTGTCGAAAGTGTTGGGTGTGAAGGGGAGGCATCTTGCTGTGACTGATGGGGAAAATATGTAGCCATTGTTGCAGCTAGCTCAGAAGAAGTAACAGTTGTATTACGTGTGGTCGTTGTGCTGTGTGAATAGCTAGAAAAGTTGGTAGAGTACTCTTGCATTGACTTAGACATTGGATAGCACTGTTCACTTGAGACTGTAGACATTGATGAAATTGAACTTGTAGAATCTGTACGTCCTAGACCAGTAAAGGAGGCAGAAGCTTCATCAGGCTGTGGTGCTTTTTTACGAGGAAATGTGTTAAATTTTGAAGCATTCGGAGCCATTTCATAATTATCATCACTGTCATACGACATTTGTTTAGCAATCCGATGAAGGGAAGAGGATGAGGTGGATGTGGAATCGATCATTCCATCAATGGATGTAATTGTGGCATTGACAGAAGAGTCAATCTCCTCAAGAATCTTATTGGTAGCTGAAGACTCATACTCAACAATGTTTAAAATTCGGCTAGCATCACTCGAGTGGACTATATCAGGGGGTAGGGCTCCAAGGCCCACTTCCCCAGCAGTTTCCTGTTGCTGCAGATAAAACTCCATAGATTTCCGTAGATTCTTCTTATTGCGTTTAATCTGCTTGAGCTGTCTGAGAGTGCTACCATTGGACATGTTTTCACAGAAGTTGAGGAAGTCCAAGTCAATATGATAGCCATAAGGGCAGCAAGTGCATTTATCTTTCTTGGGGTTAATGATCTCTTTTGCCTCATAATGACCAGCTGACAAAGCTCGCACCTGGACTTGGTATTGGGGACTTGGAGATGGGCCATCTGAAAATACAAATTGTTAAATAATAAAGATTAAAATAGTATTTAATGTCTTATCATTTATTATGGAAAAATGATATAAATTTTTCATATATCAAGAAACAATTTTAGGGGAAATGTAGGACAAAGTGAAAAAATTTTTAATATGACAGGTTTCATCATGTGGGATTTCATCAAACTAAATTGATATTTATGTTGACGTGACCATACATACACATGAAGGAAAAGGGAAACTGAGAATTTTAAATTAAAAAGATTTTTTTATATGTTTTGGGGCATATAATCTAGCCAATTTCATTTAGATTATTTTTTGTTTATGCTCCCATCATTTTTATTATTAAAAGAGAAAACAATCTAAAGACAAAAATGTATAAAAAGTGCTTTAACTGATAGATCATCTACAGTAAATTTGTATCCAGGTTCTTACAGAGTTTCACCATTCTTGGCAGATTATCACAATGTGGGATTTAATAACAAACATGATGGAAACAAACAAAAACAAAAGAATCTAAATTAAAATTGGCTAGATTATATACCCCAAAACATACTAAAAAAAATATCAATATTTAATATACAAAAATACTAAGTATTAACTATAATAACATGAGCTATCTAAAATGTCAACCATGAAATTAAGAAACTAAATCCTTGAATATTGCCAAAAAGAACCTCTTGAAAATACATTCCTGGTCAGTTTAGTTGACTTAGTAGTCACTTTAAGCTTCATAAATATGAAACAAAAAATTACCACAGTCCTAAATGAGATTCTTAAACTAAACTCTTCATTTACATCAGATTCATTTGATTTAATCAACTTGAAACATTGTGTGTGTGTGTGTGTGTGTGTGTGTATATGTATATATATATATATATATATATATATATATATATATATATATGAGTGGACATTGAAGTCAACACCCAGAGATGACAGTTTTCATGCTAAATGCAATCATCAGGCCATACACTCTATCCCTGATACTGAGCACTTTAAACCATAAATATAGCATACCTTAAAACTATATATATATATATATATAAAGGGACATTGAAGTCAACACCCAGAGGTGACAGTGTTTCATGTTAAATGCAATCAATAGGCCTGTTAATGAAATTTGAGGAATAAAAAAAAACAACAAAATGATAACAATATTCACAATAAGATAGATGATATTTACTATATATTAGTAAGCCTTTAGACTAAATTGAAGCACAAATTCATTGTGTGTGTGTGTGTGTGTGTGTGTGTGTGTGTGTATACACTCACACATGGAATGCAAACTTAAACAGACTTCCCCTCCCCCAATACTAAATTAAACCCAATCTTTATGAAAGGAGAGGATCCTCACTATAATACAAACAAGTAAATAATCACAATTTTCATCATTACATAAAGTTAAGACTTCTATTTGGATGTCCACAGGAGAACAGTTAATACCATTTACCCAAGTAGTCCAACTAGTTAATAATTAAATCAATGCACATGCTGAAATTTATTAAACTGTTTTTGCAAATCAATTGGATTCTTCATAAAAAAAGGAAATTTCACTCAATACTTTAATCCCTAGTTTCATGCAAATTTTCTTAGAAATTAAAATGAATCTAATTTATATTTCAGCTGCACCAAATATCAGCAAGCAGCTGCCTCAGATATTTCTTGCTTTTACCAAAGTTTGCAAAAGAATCAATGAATAATTGACCAAAAGCTTTTTTTAAAATAAAAATTAAAAAAAAAATGTATAAAAGCAATTTTTGATACTTGAAAAATACATTCTTCAGTTTTTATACTTCAGGGTTTATTTAGTTACAAACTTAAACTATTTTTAAAATTACAGTATGGCTTAATTCTATCATTTTTAAGATGGTTTTTCTTTTATCCTATTAAAAATGATGTTTAATGCTTAAGGCAAATATTCGGACATTTTATATGAATTGTATGCATTAAAAATATTAATACAAATTTCATGGAGTTGTAACAATTGAAAACGCATTTCCAAAAATTACTCTTTTAAAAACGTTCTCGTCAAATATTTTTTACATTATTCTCTTATCATATGCACATCAGCTTTTTAAAATAAGTAAAATTACAAGATATGAAATTTCAGAAGTAGATACAAAATTAAGAATTAAATATAAATAAAATGATTAAAAATACTTTACCATTCTTTAAATTTCTTAAATATGATGAACTATCATGTTTTGTTATTTGATCTTTCTTTTGCTCTCCATCAAAAACATGCCAACAATCTATAACCAGCAAACAGTATCAATAGGAATTAAGAACAAATAAATAAAATAAATAAAACTCTGTTACTTTTGTCATGAGTGAGTGTTACAAATCAGGCCACAAAGACTTTATCAGATTTCTTTTAAATATAATGGTAATGGTGAGAGTAAAAGTTTCCATTGAACAACCAGCTGTCAATTGAAATGGTGGAGTTGTCCAATAGGCACTGTAATTAGAATTTATCCTCCCCCATATCTAGTATGTAGCATTAGATTGGCAGCAAGGTTTCATTATTTTACAGTTGAAATGGTTAAATGTAACCATGTTCAATGCTAATAATAGTTTCTATTGCACTTTTCACTTGTGGGACTTTCTTCCTGATTACCAGCCAACTTTGATCTTCAAAACTTTAAATGTAATGCCAATTGTTATCTCTTGTCTTCCTAATTCCTGTTTTTTATTGTTCTCTCCTTAACCGTGTTTTTTTTTTTTTCTTGTATTCTAAGACTCATTAAACCTTTTGGGGCTTTGTTGCCTAGTTTGAGGTGAAATGATTAAGAAAAAAAATATATATATTGCTATAGATTAAGTACTACAGGTCACAAATATCTATAAAACAAATATTTTAAATTTATTAAATTTTATAAACGTTAAAGTCCAGCTTGCTAGGAAAATTCATTGTAAACTTTAACACTACACAAGTCAGAAACAAATATGCTTATATGTGATTTCTTAAAAATAAAAAAAATATGTTTTTTAATTTGTAATCTGCAGTTCCTTTTTCATAAATTGCTATCAATTATGCACCACAAATTTAAAATTTAAAAAAAAATTTTTTTTTTTTAATTTTCAGAAATCCTTTTGTTTTGGCTTCTGTAGGAGGATCAATTTACAAAGAATTATGTAGCAAAATGGATCCTCGTATTAACTTTTTTAAAATCTAATAAAAATATATTTTCAGATATTTATAATCCTGTGTGCTTAAACTATAGTAGTATGAAAAAAAAAAATTTTTTTTTTAAATATTTTGGGTTGCAGTGGCTATCATATAACTTCAATGTTGAAATTTATAAAATTTCTCTCTTAAAACAGTTTTTCCAAATCCTCTGTTATTGCTCTTTCTAATATTGAATTTTCCATCCTAAACTTTTGTTTAACGCAGTGTTGAAAACTAACATCTTGGTTATACCATTTTCTCTTCTACTGATGTGGCTTCTGTTATTTAATAAAGTTCTTTGCAATCATGTAATGTCAGACTATAAGATCTGATGATGGATTCATTTGCTTGAAGCCACTTTTCATCATTATCTGCGAAAACAGTTGTGTGTAACAGACAGTTTAAACCAGAGTTGGACACCATACATGATATTCATATGAGAGTCAAGTTCTTAGGTTAATGTTTTGGTTTTGAAGCATCTTGTAGTGTTGGACAAAACCACCCCTAATACTGCCTATTCTATGTTCAAATTCCTTATCTCCTATAACTGATCCATACACTAAAGTATTGGAAGTGTTTAGTATTAACTAAATCCTGAATTTTTATGATTGATTCAGAGCATGTGCTGTCACTACTTTCATTCAAATCTCAATTCATAGCTTCTGTTTTGGAAAAGCTTATTTTGTCCTACTTCTTCAAACATTTGGTAAAGAATGACATTTTGTTAAAGATCATTTTTATCCCCACTATGAATACCTAAGTGATCAGTATAACAAGTCACCCGACCCTAATCACTGGTACACTGGCCTCTGGAGAACTTGCTATACTTTTCTTTATTCAAATCTGTTATGCTGTCATCATATAATATTTAACTTATTCATTTAGTATTAGGTGTCTTTCATTAAGTATCAGCAATATTTTCTATGTTGGTATGTGAAGAAAACTAATGGAAGTAGAATTAATTTTTTGCTAGCAAAAAAAAATTAATTCTGTCAAGTTCTAAGGAGGATGTGAACAAGCATCAATCACAATTATGTGTTAATTAAGTATTGATTATTTCCAAGCAGGTTTTATTACAGGTAATTCTTTTATTTTAAGATTAGGTAATTGTCGCAAAATTCGGTCCAAACAATAGGAAGGGAACGGGTTGGTCTCGTAAAATTAGGTCCAAACAATAGGACGGGAACGGGTTGGCCTGGCACCGCCTACTTCCGGAAACACTCCTCAGCTTAACGACAGCTACAATCCAGCTACAACAACTCCACAGATCTTTGCACTCAAATGTTCCAACACCGCCTTTGTAGTTCGCTACACACAACTCTCTCGAGTGGTCTCCGCCGTCACATTTATCCCAGCGAACACCAACCAATTTGCATACGCCCAAGTTCTCCTCTCGCCAATCCTCGCGCTACGAGATCGTGTTTCCATAAGTCCGACTCACCGTAATGGTGGTGTTTCTTTCTTCGACCAATTACTGCCCTACACGCCAGACACAAACGAACCTCTTATGCCGAGAACTGAGGTTAGTCTCATTTTCATGTCCACACTCCCCTGGTCTCAAGATCACACATGTGGCATTGCGGACGCGGTCGCTTGTTGCGGGTACTCCCACGAAGGGGATTGTCTGGACTTCTTCATCGGGACTCTCAGAAGGCGCCAGAACTATCAGCATCAGCGCCCGGATCCGCAGTCAAACCATCAGGCCCGAGGGGCACAGGTCGGATCCACAGTTCATCGCTGGATGATTCACCACTGCTGCTACTAGTCAACTGGTTCATATTTAGGGCGGCCGGACATCCTTCACATGGCGTGGAGTACCATCGACCAGCACTGCTTGCTCATTGACGATGCCGGTGATTCGTTTTCTTTGAAAGCTGGTGGTGCACCGCCATCGGGAGGTTTCACCCAGACGGTGTCCCCCTAACTTATACGGCCCTCGTGTTTCCGGCGATCAGGCAGACACGCTGTCAATGCCCTTGTTTGGCGCGCTTGGCAGCGATGGATTGCATTGGCGGGTGCGCACTGCAGCAGTCACGGCATCCTTTGCTGTTGCATTGTATCTATAGACCGCCTCCGCTATCGTGCAAACTGCTTCCTGGCCGCGATCCTCTTCACGCCCCCTTTCATAAAATATGACCCACCGGATGGCACCGCTGCTATGCCGTTGCCAGGAAATGCGGCACATATGCACAGCGGTGTCTGAGCCGATCCCCACTTTAGTCTCTGGTATGTTTGCCTAAACTCCCGCTGCAGAAGGCCGTGTCGTTATCCGTTGTGGATCTCCGGGCCGCCTTCAGGCGCCCCTTTCATAAAATATGGACTCAATTCTCGGATGACACTGGATGAGTCCTGTCTTATGGTAATGGATCAGCATCGCCAGATTTTGCGAACCTCGTCGGTCCGTCTGAATCTATCAGTGTGAGGAAATGCTGGCTGCCGTAATGGGTTATGTCCAACCACCGCAGTTCGCACACCAATCGCCAGAGAGCCCCAAGTCATGTCTACCCCAGTCTCCTTTGGCGGGTCATCCTGCCGACCCTTCACCATGCCCATTTAGCTTTGGGGCGCTTTTGGGTGCCTGTTGCCACATTGACCATCCACACTGGCAGATGTTTCCACACACACAGGGAGAATATAGTCCTTCACCACATCGGTCTTCAGGAACTTCAGTTTTTTTTAAGGACAACGCTGACACGGCACCAAAACGTTCTGTATCCCCATAAGTCCCAAACTCAGCCAGTTTGGACTCACGGGATGATGACCAACTGTTGTGGTGTGTCCCTCTTTTATCTCCTGTGATTTTGGTCCGGGGGTGCCACGCTTTAACAGAGTAAGGCAGCACATAAACACCACCGCCTGAAATGGCCACATCTGGCCCGGACCTGCAGGTTCTTTCTTCATGGCCAGCAGGGACATACCATCTCTAGTTGGGCACAAACGCCGCATGCCGAACGCATCCTATTCAGTCCATCACTGGCCTCAGCTTTGTTGGTGACAACCGCCATCAGCGGATCAGGCCTCCAAGTTTCAGGGGTAAGGAATAACCAGCCATTGATCCATTCACGGAGCTCCCTGTTACCATTTGATCTTTCTTATGGTCTCCAACCTCCGTCTGATCAGCATCTCCGCTGGTCGATCCGTCCAAGGCACGCACCCTGGCCTTGCCTGTCAGTGTGTCTGATATCCAGTGGTACACACAAACGAATCAGTGTGTATGTGTAATTTCTTAACTTTCCACTGGAGTGCCAGGTTGATGCCTTTTATCACCGCGTCGAGCTCTGCCAGGTTGATATGAGCAGCGCCATTCACTGGTCGCAACCAGCAGGCGCCCTCAATTCGCAGCCCCATTCTTCTCCAACAGCACACCAATCGCCAGAGAGCTCAGCATCCACCCACACGCTCAGTTCGGTCTCCTGCACGCACCAGTCTCCTTTACGGGTCATCCTGCTTTTACTCTTGCGATGGTCTCCTTCACCATGCGAACCAACAGATCGTCTGCCCGTTGTTTCGTCCCAGCCTTTGGTGACTGCGCTTGACCCTTCTTTTTTATGGTGCCCTTTTTTTAATGGGAATAGAGGTATTGTCTAATTTGTTATGCCGGAAATACAACTCTCTCGAGTGGAAGGGAACGGGTTGGCCCCACCGCCTATCAAACATTTATCCCAGCCAATCCAGCTAACACCAACCAAAATTTCCAACACGCCCCCACACACAACTCTCTCCTCTCGCCAATCCCCAGCCAACACCAACCAATTTGCATACGCCTATTCTCCTCTCGCCAATCCTCGCTCGCGTTTCCATAAGTCCGACTCACCGTAATGGTGGTGTTTCTTTCTTCGGACCAATTACTGCCCTACACGCCAGACACAAACGAACCCTCTTATGCCGAGAACTGAGGTTAGTCTCATTTTCATGTCCACAAAAGTAGTCTTTTTATTGTTTTTGTTCTTTTTATAATAAATGTTTACCGATTAGGTTTCAAAGATTTATACAACAGATTTGTTTCTTTGCCTTATTCTGAGTTATTCTTAATATACTTTTAAACTTCCCTCTTGAGTAACTCACAGTAATAGTATGGCTAGCTAGTCAGCCTTTCTGAGTAGAAAGTTAAATCTATACTGGGTGTCACATTAACTGAGTAAACATAAGCTAGCCATTTCTAATAGGACCTTTGGCTAATTTATTGCTCTACTCCTGAGCAAACCATTAGTAAACCATTTGTTTTTTTTGCTTTATTTTTTAAGTAAAAATAAAATTACATGAATGCAAACAATTATCCAATTTTGCATTCAATATTTCACAGACAAGCCATTATCAGTATCCTTTTTCTAGGCTTTATTTAATCCTTGATGATCCAGAAAAGGATTAAAATAGTATAGTTTTACAAGGAAAGTTGTGCTATCATTAGTGTAAATGTTTTGGGATTTTTGGGTTTTTTTTTGCTTATAATTATAATTGTTTTAGCTGATCTACTTTACTAAAGGAACTTTGAATAAATAAATTAAAAACAACCGTTACTGTTTTTCTAGTTCAGTTCATAACCGTGTTACACAAATTCCAATGATCAGCTAATTCCCTTGAAATCCAACAGGTCTCAATAACAAAAATTTTACAAAGCAGGATATTTTAACAATCATTATAAAGATGAGCAAAATAATGGTGATCAGAACCAAACTAGAACAACAATATGGGAGACAAGGAATAACCAAATTAACCTTCCTTTATGATTTCTGGTTTAATAAACTTAATAGAAATAGCAAGAACTTAAAAAAAATAGAGTTATTTTTTTTTGGGGGGGGGGTCATAAACAAAAAGTTTTATTTATTTACCCATCAAGGTGATTTTGTACAAGTGTATGCTTATGTATAGCAGTTGCCTGGAGAGAAGGAAGAAAAATTACACTAACCTGGGGAGCTCTTGAGCTCGGCATGTAGAATTTCTTCTCGATAAGCCATAATGTTGCAGGAATACTCAAGAGACTCACTTTCACCTCAAGTCAGTGCAGCCATTGCATCAAATGGCTGTAAAACAAAAAATTATCGCCAAAATAGAATAACATTTCATGAAAAAGTTTGCTACTTTAATATCCTGGAAGAAAAATATTTTCAATTAAATTGAATTTAAATATGGTACTAATGGCACAAAACACAAATTGTTTCTAACTTGGTTAATATATTCATTAAATTAAAGAAGATAGATCATTAAGACACGTAAGAGTAAGAATAAAATACAAAACTTTGTTTCTTGACCAAACCAACTGTGAATGATTAAAAAATATATTTATTTAAAATGTTGAAATTCAACATTCAATGAGTTCCAGATGTTATATAATATAAAATGTTCTTTTTCTGTTGAACAAGTAGACAATACCTCTATTCCCATTAATACATGGACTTACTGTGAAAATTCCATACTGTATTACATTGCACTTGGCATAACAATGAATTGGTTGCAAAAAAAATTTTAAATACTTTCCAAGACATTGGTTTTGGAAGAATATTAAAAAAAAAAAAAATCAATCAAAAGAAAATTCACATTTCTAGCTCAGAGGAAAAAAAAAAAAACTTTCCCCAACAATTCAGTCTAACATGTAAAATCTAGAATTCTTCTAAGCAAAACAATCAAGAACTTTTTACCCTAACAGATTTTAGTCACTTATAATCAAATTTCATGCAATATAGAATACATTGGAACAAAAGATAGCATTTTTCAATAGGTGACATTTGGACACATGGTTTTGTTTCAGGTGCAACTGAAATCTATGATGTCTACACTTATTCTGAGAGGTAACATTTCAATTCATCTTTTTATACAAATCATGTATGGACTGTAAGTTTTAAGTGGTTTTTACATTAAAAGTTAAAATGAGATGCATTTTCATCATTTGATGCTTTTATTTCTGAAAATTGAACAAGGTTGTACAAATAGCAAAAAAGATAAGTGCTGTTTTTGGAGATGGTTCCATAGCTGTGAATACTGTCCATAAGTAGTTCAAGAGGTTCAAAAGTGGAAATCTGGAAAATCAAGAATGTTCCAGCAGCCCTGCAATAATTGATGATGACCAAATGGAAATACTGATTAAAAGTAATCCAGGTCATACAACACAGAACATAAAAAGGATAGTCTACATATCTTTATATGAGCATTTTAAGGCATTTGAAAACACTTGAATATGTGAATTACTATGGTGTGTGAAAAAATTAATGAACTGCATTTCCATCTGTGGTTCCCTGCTCAAATGCAACAAAAATCGTTTATTTTGGAAAAGAACAATCACAGGCAATTAATGAATGCTGACCTGCATATAAAGAACAAAATCCTGTGTATCCATTGGGATTAGAAGGGTATTGTGTATTACAAACTCCTTCCACAAATTCAGGCATTGAATTCAAATAAGTACTGTTCCCTATTTGACCAATTAAAAGGCAGCAACTGATGAGAAGCATCAGGAATTAGCCAATTGAAAGGGTGTAATCTGCCATCAGGACAACACCAGACTTCTTTGCAATCTTAGCAGAAATTTATATCAGCTTGACCAAGATGACCTACTACACTAACTGTACTCACCTATCCTTGTACCTTTAGATTACCATTTATTTAGATCCCTACAAAATTCTGTTAAGGAGAAGAACCTCAATTTTCTGGAAACCTTTAAAAACCTCTTAAAACAGTTCATCATCCAGAAAGATGCTAAATTCTAGGAGGATGGAATCATGATGCTGTTTCAAAGAGAGAATTTTCTGGAACAAAACAGCATATATAGGGTTGAATAAATCTATGTACAAATATCTAAATATTGTCTTTGAAATTCACTTAAAAATGCTACAAACTTTTGTTCCGAATCAATACCACTGAAATTCATTAATTAATGCATAACAGAAAAGAGTATAGAGAGATAACAAGTTTAGGTGCCTTGGTATGATGTAATGGTTACTAAGTTTGTCTGATTGACCATTACTACTAATTAGTAAGTGCAATCCTCACTTGGGGCTCCATACTTGTGAACTTGTTTGAAAGTAAATTTAATAAACAAGTCAAGCCTCAAGTTGAGGAAATTAGTAAAACAATTTACTCACTTTACAGACCAAAACCAAACAATGCTATGCATCATTAACAACTGTAATGTTAAATGTTTGACTAGTGAAGCAATCAAGCAGCAATATATAAATATGACAAAAATGCTGATGGTAATTTAAATACAATTAACAAGTTTTATCCACTATAAATGAAAAGGTGTAAAATAAAACCTATAGAAAAAAAGTAATAACATTGTAACTTATAACAAATATATGTGCAATAATACCAAGGCTAAAGTTAACTGGAAAAGTTAGATTGGCAATACTTTTTCCATGATAACCAAGTCGACATTTTATCAGAAAAATTATTATGATTGTCAATGATCATTAAAGACTTGTAAATATTTTGTTTAATCACTTTTAGGCAACACCTATTTTCTTTTTAAATATTCTCTCCATTAGCTATAAAAAGGTGTATTTTAGCAGCTAATGAAAATTTCTTACAAATTACTTTTTTTCTTTCATATAAGTTGAAAGAACAAATGGTTTATATATATAATATAGATATTACATATAATATATATATATATATATATATATATATATATATATATATATATATATATATATATATATATAATATATATTTAAATAAAAAAATTACTAATGGTAAAACTGTTTATTCATATCTAAATAAAATAACTGGTTGCATTAAAAAATAGGATTAACTGATAACATACGTAAAAACAAATAAATATCTCCATTCATTTCTGCTACCATTCCACCTATAAATTGACTAATTTTAGGAAATGTTATCAAATGACAATTCTTTTAGATTATGCACAATAAGAAGATGTAGATATTAAATCCTAAACATTCAAAAGGCATACACAAATCTATTTTGATAAAAATTCTTTGAGCAATGAAAAATATCTTCAACTTTCTCTATTCAAATAGTCCACCTTTATATAACCACAAGTTAAAAATTGTCTATCCTAGATAAGTTATCAAGACTTCAATAAGAGCTGGTTATGATGACAATAAAACAATTCCTTAATACAGTGATGGTCAACTCATAAGACTGTCAGTCCTGAAAAGTAGTCCCATATAATTTCTAATACAGGTGGATTATCCTTTATCCGAAATTCCCAAATCTGAAAACCTTCAAGATACCAAAGTTTTTCATGTGCTGACACAAGTTGCCAAAAATGGAAATTTTCAAAAAGTACTGGAAAGAAGGCTATGTGAAGCTGCTGTAAGTGACCTCATCTGCCCTGGGTGAAGGTTCATCAACCCAGCTACGTATTCTACATTTTTTGTTAGTGAACGTCACAGCAACACCTTTGTTTGTGGATTAGTAAATAGGTGTTTTGTACTCAGTAAAGATATTATTCAAAATGTCAAGTTTCCTGAATTTTTTTTGTAAGTAGTGATCATGTTTTTTTTATACACGTACAGAAAGTACAAACATTATTTTCACATAAAATCTTAATTTCACCACTTAAAAATCGGCATGAACATTATATGACTAGCATCATTACCTGCATCTGTATAAGCCATGTTATGAAAAGTAAAGGGATATCATGTTTATGTCTGGGTTCCATTCCCAAGTTGTCCCATTTTATAGATGCTATACACAAATTAAATAGCCTGTATCCCAGAATCCTGAAACATCTGAAAACCAAAGCACTTCCAGTCCCAAGAATTTCAGATAAGGATTCTTAATCTGTACCATAAAAAATTAAATGGATAACAAAGAAATATTTATTTTTTAATAACTTATTGTCATTATTCATGTAAAAGATTAATTTTCAGCAACACCAGTCATGTACAGTAACGGCATAATAGTAATTTGTAATATAAGAAAATAAATTTAAATCTGTTCCCAGTAAATTTCCAGCTAAGAAATACTACAAAAAGTAGAAAAAAATATTTTTAAAGAAAAGATTGTTCTGTAAATATTGCATTTTCAAAGCATACACATATTTTTCTTGTTTAAGCATTATGAAAAGAGAAATCGTGATCTTACACTGACTGAACAATATTAATTGTTAACACAAGAGATATTTCTCTATAAAATAAAAATGGAAGAATGCACATCAAATTTTAGGAATGTACACAAAAGGGTTTTGGTCATCTATAGCAAACCAATAAACAAAATTCATCTTTACACACATGCACACACACACACAACATTATATATATATTGTTATATTATATATATATATAACCACTCTGAAGATGGCTCATGTGAGACAAAAGCTTAGATCAAGGAAAAGCATAATAAAAAGAAAAAATATCCAAATGTTGGACGATTTTTTGTCTTTATTTTCTCCTGAAATTAAAGCAACTATGCAAAGTTATAACAACTCAAGATCAAAACATAATAGACATTCATTGTCTGTTATATTCAACAATATATGTCTGAATAATGATCTGCTGCCCCAATACACTATATATATATATATATATATATATATATATATATATATATATATATATTAGTGAGAGAGAAAATAATAATCACGTGAGATGAAAGGATTTAAAAAACTACATAAAAAATGATGAAAGGGCAAAGTAGTAACTCATTTCCAACTGAAAGAAAATATCATTGATTCAACAAAGTGTTAATAGCTAAGTATCTTCACTTAATGTAAACTGAGTCACAAAAGCAGATAAGAGGAAAAGAAGTCCCACTATAAATGAAAAGGTGTAAATAAAACCTATAGAAAAAAGTAATAACATTGTAACTTATAACAAATATATGTGCAATAATACCAAGGCTAAAGTTAACTGGAAAAGTTAGATTGGCAATACTTTTCCATGATAACCAAGTCGACATTTTATCAGAAAAATTATTATGATTGTCAATGATCATTAAAAGACTTGTAAATATTTTGTTTAATCACTTTTAAAGCAACACCTATTTTCTTTTTTAA